TTAACATTAGTTACTAGAATCACAATTGCATTGAGTTTGATGATAAATGAGATGTTAAAAAAGAAGACACCCTTTGTGTTACAGCTGAATAAGCTATACGAACTACGTATTATATGAATACTTCTGATTTTTCATTTTTTCCTATTCTATTTTAATAATATTTGAATTGATCATTTTCCGCTATATTTTTCTTACTTTTTCTTTCCTGTAAAAGTTTCCTTACAGTAAAAGCCAGAACATGTACTTGTTATGAGCAGACTGTTGTATTTCTTATGATTCAGTGCTTTTATACATTCAATGCACATATTTGCATATTATCTAAAATAACATTATTTTTAAGAGTGTTTATCATGTGTGCTTTTTTATGATACTTGTTTCCATTACTTTTTTCTCTTTTAGGTGTTTCCATGTTCCTAAAACACAAAATCTTCCATTTCCCACCAAGGTTTCCAGCACAAACTGTCTGTTTATTCAGTGACAACTGTGTTTCATAACAGCAGCCGTTCTTTTTCTGACCTCTTCAGTACCTACACTGGATTGAGTTCTGGACATGGGATGTGTGCTAGTCATGATACCAGAGATTTTTAGAGGAAATGGAAGGAAAAAAGTGTTTATTCATGCTCTAGGATGTCCTTGTCGTCCTCAGATATCTTGTATGTCTTGCATCATGCTTCAGGAATTGAGCTTTGATAAACATATCTCTCAGCTTAAGTAACCAGTTTTCTAATAAATAGGGCTCTTCAATAGATTAACAGTCCACTGCCATGAAAATATTTATGTGAATCTTTTAATCTGTAATATTTCTTAATGTCCATTTTACCAAGTTTGTATCTCTGCTTTTTTAATCATTGCTGGTGAATTTTATATTTTGTTAGAATTATCTGAATTACCTTTGCCATTAAGTGCTGCATAATTATAGTGTGTGTCAAAAAAAATTAGTTCATAACATAAGCAGCTTCAGTCTGTATGTTCTTTAGAATGCATAATATATTCCTTGTGCCAAGGGCTATTATCATCTGTACTAGAATACCTTGTACAGTTTTTGGTATTAAGCTTTCTGGGTATCATAATATAATAAATCTTCATTCCAGTGAAAGATCCACATTTTTGTAACTTTTTCTTTCCAGAGGATATTCAACACTCAGTTCAAAATATCTTAACTGTTGCTAAAAATAGTCAGAAACAGCATGACAGTCCAGGGGAGGTTGACAAATAACATTTACCTCCCCAAAAGTCACAGGCATATTGCCAGAAACCATGTGTTCAGAAGAATCAAATTCATCTATTATGTTGAGCATTTAAGAATATTGTATTAATACACTAAAGAATACATGTCTTGTAGTAAAACTTTTTATTTCTAGAACACACTCTTTACATGATGAAGATTCTAAGTTTATTCTTTGCACTGTATTAATCTTTATATACAGCTTCTATTACATGTATTTCTGTACACTGAGTCTGTAGTTATGACTTCTATTTAACTTTCATTGTATATGCTTTCATTTCATGCTGTTCTTTTCATAGTTTCTTCCACGTCACATTCAGTCTACTACTTAGGCTCTCTATCAATGAACCTTATGTCTGATTTTTCAATCAGTGATTTATTCTAAAACCATACATTTCTGTAATTGCTTTCTTACCTACTAGTAATTTATTGAATGTCCTAAGTTTTCTTGCATCAATTCATTTGTAGCATCAAAATGTGTTCCATGGACATCTCTCCAGTCAGTTATAATCAAGCATATATTATCATAAAAATATTAAGCATTTTCTCAAAGGTCAAATTATCATATAAAGGTTTATTTGTTAATATAATGAAGTTGATATTTAAAGAAAGGATAATTTATTACCTTTCAGTAATGAAAAAACTCTAAATATATGAATTTGTTAACAAGAACTTTTTTATTCTAATCTAAAATCATACAGTACCAAAGTGTCTGAAATTTGTGAACTGCAGTTTCTTTTTGAAGAACTTAAAACATTTCTCCAGAACTTTCACTGTTCTGTTCTTTTGACTCAAGTTTATAGTCCAAGTACACATGTTCCCAAATTTTAAAACTTTTATATTAATAAATAGCTTTATGCCTTCTAAGTAGTGTTCTTAGAACCCTACATTTTAGTGGTCATAGTAATTACTATTCTAAATATTTCTATGTTTAAACATCTAAGAAAGTGTGAAATTTAATTTGTAAGCCCTGGAGAAGTACTAGATTTATGCTGTCAGATCATGAAAAGTAATAAATTATACACAGGGATGGGATTTTTCCATTTTTTCTAGATTTCGTTTTTTTTTCCACAGTGAACATCATGTTTGTGATTCATAGGAATCTGGTTCAGTTTTTTGGACCCCATTCCTCATTCAATTGTTATTTCTTTTCATTACCCACGTGTACTTCATCTAAATGTAAAATAATCCACTCCATGAAAATTTAGAATGTGTGTTGTGATTGGACAGTAGGAAGCTTTGTTAGTTGTTGGCAAGGGCAGTGAAAGACATGCACTGAACCAGGACAAATCAAGAGACCGAGAGAGGTATTTTTAAAAAAATATCCCGTTCATTCAATGTTGACTGTTTTAAGAGCCATTCATTGCTAATAATATTGTAATTTGATCTTGTTGAACATTTTACCATCATATACCACATTAGTCATCTTTTAAGTACAGCTATTTAACCACAAGATCACGTTATGATATGGCCCTTCATTTTGTATTTTGCTCACTTGATCCAACTATGGTAAACACACACAATTCTTTCAAATTATCATGTAAAAATCTATGTATACAGCTTTAATTACATCTTCTCAATTTGCCTTTTATTTGGTTAATTAAAAATTATTTCTATTCTGATTGAGCTCCATGAATTCGTTGGATTTGTATGCAATAATAGGATGATTTCCATATGCTCCAATGATACGAGAAGTTGAGGGGCATACTACGGGGCCATGGCTCACTAAATATGATTTCCATATGCTCCAATGATATTTGGTGTTCCATGTATATGAGAATTTGAGAGGCATACTATGGGGCCATGCCTCACTAAATGGACTCTTTTTTTTTTTCAATTTATACTGATGCCATATGTGCATTAGTGAATTTCATAAATGTATTATTAAATACAGTACTGCAATGGAGAATCAATTTTTCCAGAAGAAATATGGCTTGAATGTAAAGGATATTAACAAAACTACTGAAAACAAAAAAAATTTCCAGGTGGGTGGCGTAGTCAAACCTGGAGAAGTTCTAGATTTATTCTCAGATCATGAAAGTAATAAAATGTATACATTAAGCCTGGAAATGTACTCAGGTGTATGTCACCAACTCATTAAATTTTATTATTTTGTGGGTTATTTCTGCATATTATAAGAAATTGTTTGTGAACAACTAGGAGCAAAATCCCCTTTTTTTGATATAATAAAAAAGGAAAAATTTTATGTTATCTGATTGATATTAACCATCCTTGTTCTCTCTTTCCAACTTTTCTTGCTTCCAATTGTAAGAATTTGTTTATAATAGGTTCAGTCTCATATTCACAAGCTTTTAGAGAACCTGAAGAAGAGTGCTGAAGGTTATTCCACATCTTGGATTTGTATCTAAATCCAAATGAAAATATTAGAAATAAGTGTTCAAAATTTGACATCATTAAATATAGAATTTTTTTTTCCTATTTATAAATAATATAAGCTTACTTAATTGCTTTATATTTTCACTAAGTAACAGATATATAATTCTATTTCATATTTATGAATAAAGGAAATGCAGGTCTTTAAGCATACAAAATTTGTAATGAGCAAACCATGTGCATTTTCAACACTATATTTTCATAACTGTATGATATTAAATGTTAAGGTAGTTTTATATGTAATTTGTGACCACTATCTACCTCCTCAGCTGTATTTACAACACATTTTAAAGTATTTACCTTTATATGTTTATTTTTATATCAAATACAATGATGTGGCTTGTTAGGTAGCAAGCCCTGACTGTGAATCTGCAATAAAATCACACTCAACACTTTGGAGACATGGGTGTATTATAAGAGTGACTGTCAAAACCCAGTGTTCAATCATACAAGAGTTGGTAACAGGTTCTGTTGACTAGCTGTCTTCTCTCTGGTCTATTAGTTCATGATTAAGGATAGCTATCTGCAAATAGTCCTTGTGTAGCTTTGCATGAAAATTCTAAAACAGTTGACTAGGTTGTTTTCCTTTCATAACTAGTTGTGAATTTTTTCTTTTAATGACATCTCAAATCTTTGCTCTTTTGACTCAATTTATAGCCCAACCACATAACTACATGTTTCCAAATTTTAAAGCTGTTATATTATTGTTTGTTTGAAGTTAAGTACAAAGCTACACAATGGGCTATCTGTGCTCTGCCCACCACGGGTATCGAAACCCAGTTTCTAGCATTGTAAGTCTGTAGACATACCACTGTGCCACTGGGGCCCTGTTATATTAATAAATAGTTTTATGACTTCTTTACATAAGCTTTCAAAGAACCTGATGAAGAGTGCAGACTGTCCAAGTCATTATTTCCAGTAACATTTTTGTTTCTTTGTTTGCTATTCAGCACAAAACAATGTTATCTGTGCTATGGCCACCATGAGTATTGAAACTCAGTTTTCATCATCATAAATCTTCAGGCTTATTGCTGGGCCACTGAGGAGCCATGAACAGTATTTTTTAATGTAATTGCTAATGAATTTTTTTGTCAATGAAGACAAGCCCATTAACAAATGGAGATGTGCTGTCCTGATACTTGGTGTGAGCTGCTGCTTGTGTTAATTTAGCAATTCAAGTTCCAGTAAAACATTGATGATTTTTACATTAAAACATTATTTGAAGGGGAAAAAAAAGCCTTATGGTATATTCAGAAACTTAAAAATAAAATTGTTTAAATTCCCAGCCGAAGCCATTGTTCCAGTACTCATGAGTTACTATTTTTAATACTTGCCACCTATTGTTGTATATTTGATGATATAGACCACTAATCTTACAAAGGAACTCTATATGTAATGAGATTTTGCCGTTTGTCCCATTGGTGGTGTTCCAAAACATTTTGTGATGTTTCAGTTGAGGTACTGTGCTGCCCTAGGCAAATATTAGCTGTACTTTATCTCAATCACACCCTGAACTAATAACAGTGGACCAACTGTGAATCAGCTAAAACACACCTACACTATAATTCTACTCACCACTTCTCTTTTTGGTTGGGATGGCCCATCAATATCAAAACCCAGACCCGTTCATAAGAAGGACATGACAAATGGAAGGTTCATTGTTCCATAGAGTGGTCTCTCATCATTCTTCACCCCAACTTCGAAACTCAAGACACCATAAAAGCTTGCATTCATGGCTCAGATGAACAGTAACCTTCCCATAAACTCTTAGATCATGGAACTTCCAATGCTGATATGCATTCCTAAGCACTCATTAAAGACTTGAGTGGCATATACCATGCAGGATATGAGTTTGTTTTATATTTTTTAAAGTTTGCATGGATTAAGATGTAATTAAATTTTAGCATCATGCTTAATGTTTTAATTTTCTTTATCTTCAGAGAATTGCAAGTGAGTGGGTTGGCTAAAATGTCTGGACACTTTTACCAAGGCCACATTCAGTGGCGTAGCAAGGGTTCTCAGCACCCAGGGGCAAAGACACTTTTGGCGCCCCCACTTCTGAAATGTTTTGATTATTTGTTTTGTGACTCATTACCCATTTAATGACAATAAAATAAATAA